TTCCCTACAAGCTGAATACCTCTAGATTTTTTTCTGAGTAACTTTATTTCCCTGCTACATCTGGAGAACTGACTATTTGCATCTGAGCTCTTCTTGGACAGAAATATATCTTACCTTTCCAGTCTGGTTGTTTCTATGGGATGTTTTGCCAGTTTTCCTGAAGGCTAGTAAAACCTGCCTTTGTCCCGCTGAACTCTCTTCGTTCCTGTGAATGAAAGCAGGAACTTAATACTGTGGTGTATTATTTGGGGAAGGCTAAGGCAGCCCCCTGGTTAGGAAGGCTGCGTTCCCCATGGTTCAGATGCCTAGCATCTGAGCTTTGTTAGATCAACTTGCAGGAACCGGGTAAGTATTGGTAACCTGTAAAAACATGTTCAATACAGTCATCTACTACTGCTGAGGGGAGAGGCCTGGAGGGTGTGCTTTTTACACCCCTACTTAAAATATTCTTGTATTTCAAAAGGTATGTTTCTTCTCTTCAGTTTAATTTTAAGGAAAGTAAGGCAGCTTATTCTTATATTTGCATGAAGGCCTGATTTCCTGCTGGAAGGAAAGCAGTCAGTGTTATTACTGAAAACAGTTTTCTTCTAGTCATCTTTGTTTTGCGTGGCATACTCTGAAAGTGCTGAAAGCCTCTCTTCTGAGGGGAAAAGCTTTCGTGCAAGGAAGTGTTCAGTGTGCTTTGGGGCACGTGTTTTTTTCCAGTGTTGTACTTCTCTACTGGAGAAGACCAAGTGTCTGATTTTTTGTGCACATGGATTAGCTTTGTCAGCTGAACTACAACATATGTGTTTTTTCTCTGCCCTGTTTTTATTTACACTGAAGTAAAGTATCTTTGGGTCAGGCAGAAGTATTTGCACATGATACTTACGAAATTAAAATGTGGAGGAGGGAAGTTGTGTTTTTTTTCTGGTTTTATGTCAGAAGAAGGAATGTCTAGGTAGGGAACATAACTTGCAATTTTGAGACATAGAAGGCTTGATGGTCTGGCATTTTTTTTTCCTATCACATAACTGGCTTTCAACAGAAATCATTGTTTTACTGTCATCTTTAGCAGAAACAATTAGTTTCTTTTTTTTTTTTCCTTCCTTCAACCTCCAAATACAAGAAGGACCTCATTGCTATACACACTGTCTGACATTATTAGTAATACCATTATAATATTGTTTTTCTTGGATTTAGTTTTTTCATCTGCAGGAACAAAGACCACTTCTGTATGAGCTGAGGTAACAAAAGCAGATGTGTTGATGGTGAAGATGAGACCATAGTCTTGCCTCTTTCAAGATGCCCTAGGGAGATTGATGTGTTTCGTGAAATAAACTTTCTGCTGCTCTTAATCCTGTATGAGCTGGAGAAATAAGGGCTATAATGTGATCTGTATCGAGTATTGATTTTTTTTTTTAAATTTTTTTTAAAAGACTTTTTAAAAATCTTTTAGCAGGTGTATCATGATAGGGAGATGTTTCTCTTCCTAGTTGTCCTGTTTCAGGCCTGTAAATCAATGACGACATTATCACTTTTAGAGGCCTTCATATTACAACTACAAATCTTCCTAACTTTGCTTTTAGAAATTACTTGTCTCCTAAACTTCAAGCTACTAAAGATTCCCTACCCCCCCCACACCCCTTGACCTTGGAATTGAGTTTATAGCTTGTTGTTTTAGTTATAACAAAAAGCTTTTCTTGTACAACTGTTATTACTGTCAGTTAAAATCTGTACTTTTTCTGTTTGGCTTTCCTGACCTGTAGTCTCGCTTTCCCTTTTGCTGCTCAATGATACTGCAGCATTGGTGTTAATCACATAAAATAATGTATTAATTACTTCTGGGACACCTGGTAACAAAGATTTGGGGTGTAAATAATAAGGCTTTTATCTTCCATAAGTTCTGCTGGAGTGACGGGATTTATTTCAGGGGAAAAGCAGCTTAGATAAAGGGTATATTGCTGTCTTGTTCAGCCAGGTTTAAAGCTTATCTAATATGTCACTTTAACTGGAAAGGTAAAACTTTTGATTCTAGATCTTCCTTTAACAGTTCAGGGGAAAATGTGGTTTCTTTCTGTATCCATTTCAAGAGTTTGAGAAAATAAATATAGTCACTTTTTAATTTTTGAGAGCTTTCTCTACTTTTACATTGGAAAGGAATCTAATAGAAGACAAGGAAAAGATGTTTAGGAATATAATCTTAGACCATGTCACAATTCTTTGTATAGAGGAGCAGAACTGTTCCTTAAATGTTAGACAACTTTGTCAGAGTTTCAAACATAACATTTCTTTATGTAGTGTACTATCATAGTCAGTACATGGTAAAGTCTTTGTATGCCTAAACACTTAAAAACAAAAGGTCTTGTTTTTCCTTCCCCCTTTGTGCCAATATGTAACAGGCCTACTCTCACTGTTTGTGTATTTGCAGAGTTCCTCCCATATACAAAAACAGTCTCAAAACATAATTTGACATACTACTTTTTATGTATAGCTGTGGTTACTTACATCTGCAGTAACTTGTTTTTCTTTTTCTGAATTGCTTGCTCTATGAAACAGTTCCCTTTACCCGAATTGGAGTTGGAATATGTCTTGTAGAAAAAAGTACTAATTGGATTGTTTGCTAAAGTTTCCTTCTTCCCCTGGAAAAAGTTGTATGGATAGTTCTGGACATGACAAAGAACAGCCAGTCTTAAACTGTGAATCCTCCTGGAAAATAATGATTATCTCTAACAAGTTCCGTAGGAGACTTTCATCTTCTAAAGTTTGCATTAGTGTTTGGCGTGAAGGTCAAATTTAGAAAACACTGGCTTCCTACATGCTGAGTTGCTCTTCGTACATCTAGCGTTTCCCCACCTAGTATTTCTGCTGCTTAAGAATGAGTTGTGCTGATACTTCCTTCATGAAATCTTCTAAATAAGCTGGAAGGCTCACTGGTATGTTCTTTCACATACAGGCTCGTGTTATGTACGATTTTGCTGCTGAGCCTGGAAACAACGAGCTGACTGTCAGTGAAGGGGAGATCATTGTAATTACCAACCCGGTAAGAAAACAGAGATGAAATCAAGGCTTCGGTGTGCTGTCTTGACCTACTTCTAGCAGGTGGAAGAAAAAAGGTGCTAGTTGACATCTGAAAGCTGTGGCTATCCTCCTCCTCAGAAGCATGAAACCTGCCTCTGAAGTTAAATGTAAACTAGAAAGAGTG